GTGCAGAGTCCTGTTGCGAAACATAGGGTTTTTCAGCAGCCACCCTCTTAAGGACAGTCCTGCCTCCTCAAGGCACTTGATGTAGGCTTCCGTGTTGAGTCAGAGAGCCCATGAGAAGATAAATGGAGGCATAACATCGCCATCACTAGTGATCACTCCAAACACCTTCGTAATCACCATTAGACTCATTTATCTTTTGCCGAAGCCTCACTGTCCTCAGATTGACACCCAAACACTCGGAAATGTTCGTATTGGAACTGCCAGCATCAATGCCAAGCAGAACAGCATGCTCTTTTCCAATTTCTGGCAAAGTGAATTGCGTCATGATGCTCGCTTTCTCACACACAGAGCCCAACTGAGCGTACTATACTGTGCAGTCGGCAAAAATAAAAACAAACATCGCGCATGCGCGAAATGAAAAAATATATAATGCCGACATTTTACCCAACGAATCCTCTCTGTGTGTGTGCGTATATATATATATATATATATATATATATATATATATATATATATATATATATATATATATATATATATATACGTGTGTGTGTGTGTGTGTTTTTGTGTGTGTTTGTGCGTGTGTAAAAATATTACAATAGAGTAAATTTGTAAAAGAACACTATGAATAAAAAAAAAAAATTCTATTTAACTGACGCGTTTCGTCCTACAATTGTCTTGATAATGTCACTCAGAAGGAAAACTGTCCACTAAGATAAGTTTTTATTTTGTTTCTATATATATATATATATATATATATATATATATATATATATATATATATATATATATATATATATATATATATATATACCAATGGGCTAATTCTACAGATATGGAATGCATCGCATAATACAAGGGAAAGCAAATTGAAAAATAAATTATAAATTCAAGTTGTATTTTCATTAATCAAGATATTTCTTACGATTTTCTTTATTATTTTTTATGAAATCATCTCATCTTTAGCTAAAACCCCAGATGCTAACATTAGTTCGAGAAATTTGACTAAAATTCAAGATTTGCACTACAGTCTAGTTTATACTTTTCATTTTCTTTCGCAATAGCCGCTTTTTCTATACGTACAGCGATCTCCCTCCAAAAAATGGGGCATCAAATGCACACACTATATTCCTTTCGTACGCTTTTCAAATTCGTCGAAAATTTCTATAGCAATTCATATATTTTGGTTTTCAAATTACAGTAATTCAGAATAAAGAATTATTTTTAGGGTGTGATTCGTAATTGGACTACCTGCCTGGGGAACCTGCTATGTCAGTCAAATTCACTTTTATAAAATTTGCACTGATTTCACTTCATACTAGCTCCTGACGAGCAGGACTGCTGATGACTTTATTATAATTTCAATTGGCGCCTTCTGTAACATGTCCGTCATGCGTAGCATTCTTCATTCACTTTTTCCAACGTTGAGGTCTTTGGGGTTGGTCGTGCTTAGTCTGGATTCTACATATCTCTTTTCATATGTGTAGAAGTTTCACGAAATCAAGTGTGTGGGTCACTTCCTGGCAAGTTGAGCTCTACATTTTACGCCATCGACACTTACTCTGATTTTTTCTTTCACCTTCAACTAACTCTTACAAATCCAAAATTGAGATATGAATGGACGATGGGAGTTAGTTTTGGTAAAGCTGGAAGCTTCTAGTCCTGAATCTGCACGTTGGCGGTGAATTTAGTCAACAATGCCATTTTTATAAAGGAAGCGATCTGCAAAGAAGAAATTAAATTCTTGAATGCAAGAAAAAACCGCCGCTGACGATCTTTTGATATTTGTTTTTGCTGCTCATTAGTAATAGTATTACAGAACCATTTTTTTTAAATTTGCAACTCATTTATAAGCACTGGTAATCAAATTGGACGAGATCTCAAGAAAATCCACCATTATATTCAATGCAGATTACGAAACTCAGAAACAAAGAAAGCAAAAAAGAAAAGAAAAATAAGAACAGTGTAAAATTAAACAAAAGTGTAAGTAAATATAATTATTTTATACTATATTCAAGGATTCTACCAATTCTACTTTTCCTCTATGTGCTGTGTCCCTTCCGGACGTTGGCGTTTATAGCTTTCCACGATTTGCTCTCCTTTGTAGATCTTAATATAATTTTTCACTTTCTTATCTCTTCTGACCCTATTTACTCAAGCACGCTAGGTAGGTTATGCGGTGTTTTCCTCTGTCCCTCTTGCCTTCAATCTGTCCTGTGAGTATTTTCCAAGCCCTTTTTCTTCCTTATGTGTTCTAACAATTTCACTTGTCCCTTTCTGATGTTAAGCATAAATCCCTTTTCTGTTTCCATTTTCTCTAAAACTTCATCGCCTCTCACAGGTTCGGTAGTTAAAATGATTTTGATTTCTATTCATTTAATCCAGTTAGAGAAGATTTAAGATATTTAAGCAACTTGAGTACGAATTAATGCGTAAAAACGAAAAAAACCTGGTCGAAATACAGGGTGACCCCAAAAAACGGGAATTTTTAAAGTGCGTATTGCCAGACATGAGCAAGTGGCAACACTGCGAGACAGTAACCTTGAGTAAGTAAACATTTTGCCATTTAGAATTCAAGATGAAATTCACAGTATCCCAGCTGAGATGTTGCAGCAGTCAATGAGGAATCTCAACTGCAGATTTCAAGAATGCATTCGTACAGGAGGACGCCATCTACAGGACGTAATTTTTTAAAAAAGGAAAATTGTTTCTTAAATGGCATATTTTAAGGTTTATTTACTATGAATAAAATATTTTTCTTCTATCACTCTTGGTTTTATTGGATTGTTAAAAAGTTCCCGTTTTTTGGGGTCACCCTATACTAAGCTGGTTATTCTAAAAAAAATCGCGTAGCTTAATTCGTTCGAGATTGTAATATGGAGCGTCTTCATAATTTACACAATTTGTTTAATTTCATTATCTTATCTGTTGAGTAATGAAAACTTGCAAGACACTTTAGAGACATATTTTATCGCTCTAAATTAAGAATTAAACTAAAGTAATTAAAAGAATTTAACTCTGTTGAGTTAAATTCTTTTAATTTAAGTTCATTTCAAAAGATTAGGAAATGTAATTTCTGTTGCCTTCTTTTTTCAGTTTTTTTAACCCATGAAAGGCAGTAAAGCCACTAAGACACAAGGGGGTTACAGGATGTGGAAGAATTAGGAACAAAAAGATTAATAATCAGCAGAAAAAGAAAAAAATAATAAAGGAGAGTAGATAGCGATTGGCATTGAATTTAAATGTTTGTAGATTAAATTTGGCTGGAAAGCATGGAGCCGGAAGGGAGTTCCACAAGCGAGAAGTGCGAGAAAGGAAACTGTTAGCATAGAACTTACGGCTGCATCTAGCCAGCTAAACTGCAATTGATGAGATCTCGACGTCAATCTAGTACTGCGGTTAAATTAAAAAAAAAAAAAGACTGTAGGTGCCATAGCGTAGAGATCACCCGAACACTTACAATGATGATATTTAGAAAAATAGCACAGAGTGGCAACCTTACGTCGGTTTGTAGGTGACTGAAGTCTAACCGCCAGATCAGGACCAATAATATAGCTGATTCTTCTTTGGATAATCGAACCTTCATCTTTAATACTGTTTCACTTTTCTTTCTTTATATCTTAATGTTTTGTTTTCATCACCATTCCATTCTATCTTCCTCATTTTCTTTTTTCTTGTTCTTGTTTTCTTTTGTCACACTTAGTTTTCCTTTGAGCGTTGTCGGAATTAATTAAAAATTGTAGACCTTTACTTTCAAGCCAAATCCATAGTTATTCTCCATGCTTACTACAAATATGCAGTACATTGTAGATATCGAACTCGTGATAGTATTATTCGCGTCTAAGACGAGCTTCTTTTGCAAATTCACTAGATTGATTTGATTGATGTGTTTTTTAACAACATAACACTAAGGGCCATTTTATGCCAAAATTTAATTTTCTTCGGGGCTTTGAAATAATAAAAGTATGATATATGTTATTCTGCTTTCACAATTGAATACCTGGTAGAGGGTATTCAGATTGTGTGCATATGCATGTTTGTGTGGACTTAATTTCTAGAGGCGGTGATATGTGCGATTTATGTTATAGTTTTGTTGAAGCTATATTTTGGAATACAGTTTGATTTCTTTTTTGTAGGATATTATATGGATCGATGTCATAAAAGAGCTCTTTCATGTTAGTAGATTGATTGATTTTGTTTAGTGGTATATCAACTTATAGGGGTTATTTAATATATCAATCTAAATATTTTGAATGCAATTTTATGATTTCTGCTACAGAAATAAATGTATTGTTGGTAGTTTCACTATGAATTTGTATTGTTGGTATTTTTATATAACAATGTATTCCTGGTATTTTTACCCTAAAAACGTATTTTTATACTTCCATAGTGTGTGTTTTTTTTGTTTTTTGTTTTTTTTTGTTTTGTTAGGGTGTTCACTATTTGCCGATAGCTGGGAGTTTATCAGGTGCTACCACCACGGGTCAGGGTGGATCTGCAAATAACAGCAATTAAAAGGTGATTACATATTTCTCAATACTTCCAATCTTCCAATCAGTGGTCTGTTGCCGGGTGTCATACCAGGACTATACTAGAGTGGGACCACTTCCTACAGAAAAATTGAAAGGAATGTTACCTCCACATCGGATTTTTTCTTTTGCTATTTTTCTTTCACTCCTGGAATATTTTTTCATGTCTTACATATATTTTCACAAGCCTTTTATTTTTTTGCTTGTATCAAATTATTGTTTCTTTCAAAAACATTTAATTTCTTTTCATAGTTTCTTTCTTTTATATTTTTAATTGCATTTATTTATGTTTCAGAAATGTAAACACAGTTCCAGTTTATACTCGTGATTTTGAGAATCCACCCGTAGATCCTTTAGACTGAATCTTTGAGAAAGTCGACAGAATAGTTGAAAAGTTAGAACTAGCACTAGCGGAAACAGTTGGTGTATTTCAGTGACGTTTTTAAGGGAAATTATATTTTGGCGGCAAAAATGTCGACTAGTGTCCTTATTGTATTACACCGATTGTCCTCAGACGAAAAATGTGATAAAGCAGACGACCACAGATTTCACATCCATGTTACAGGTTTGTTGCTTGTTTTAATTATTCAAATTTTCATGCTTTCCTTCAGAAGTTTTTAATTTCATTTTTTATAAACCATTCTTTCAAATATTTTTTTAATTTTTTATTATTTCATCATGTTCAATATGTCTATATTTTAATGTGTCAGTTTTTATAATCCAGTGTTCTTATAGATATTTTTTTATTTTTATTGAACACACAGACACCCCTCGTCTAGTAAAATGAATTCATCTGTAACCTTGGAAACATGAATTATGATTTTAGCTGTGTATTTAAAACCCAGTAATTTTAAAAGTTACTCCAAAATTCGCTTGAGGAGGAAATGGAACTAATGTCTTTAATTTAATTACAAAAATTAAATTCAAGGCTTTTAGCTTCCATTTTGAAACATGGTTAGAACTGTGTAGCGGAAAAAAAAACATTTTAAATCAATTAATTTATAATATATATATATATATATATATATATATATATATATATATATATATATATATATATATATATTGAAGCGTGTCCTTTATTTTTTCTATATTTCTTTCTTTCAAACACTCTTCCCATTTTTAAATTTTCTCATACAGGTGTCTTTCCTTTTATCTTTCATTCAAATATTTTTCATTCATTTCTGATTTCCATTCATGTTTTCTTATTTTTTTTATTTGAGGTGTTTTTTATTTGTTTCTTATTTTCATTCACATTTCTTCCTTTCTTTCATATAATTTTTCAATTGTTTCACATTTTCATTCAGGTTAGTTTCTTCCCAATGCTAGTTATTCACATTTCTTCCTTTCTTTCATTCATATTTCTTCTTTTCTTTCATATAATTTTTCAATTATTTCACATTTTCATTCAGGTTACTTTCTTTCCTACGCTAGTTATTTATTTTAGATTTCCAGTCACATTTCTTTCTTTCAAATATATTTTCAATAATTTCATATTTTTATTCACATTTCTTTTTTATTGCTTCGTTTCTCTTTCTTCTAAATGCTTTTTATTTATTTACTATTTTCATTCAGGGTTTCCATCCTTCCTTCCTTCCTTTCTTTCTTTCTTTTTTGTTCCTTCCTTCTTTCCTTTCTTTCAAATATGTTTTATTTATTTCAGATTTTCATTCATGACATTTCGAAACGTCCCAGAAATGACTGCGGATATAAATTCCTTATCAGACCACACGATCACTAGTTTCATGATTGTACTCACTAAGCTCTGCCTGCAAATACAAATATACTGTTTGCAAACAGAAAGACAAAATCAATAATTGTATCCCGTGACCGTGTTAACTTGTCACTATATCGTGTTTCTATCCGTACTGTTACCCACGAGCGCATCTCCAGTGTGTACATCAGAAGTTTCTATTTTCTCACACATTTGTCTACTAAAGAGGAGGTCAGAGGTCACAGATAATCAATCAAGTGAGACACAGTCGAGCCACAAAGATTTGGTGACCCGATCAGTGAGAGGTCTCCAATGCTGGGTGATTAGGGGGTAAGTCGCAGAGGAAGTCGAGATTTATCAAATACCAGAAACTCTTGTGGCATCTGATGATAGATCGTTTTTTTTTGTTTTTGTTTTTTTTTCTTTCATTGCAGATGGCAAGAAAAATTGGATCCTGACTGGGAGACTCGAGATGGAAACCTCAGATTCCACTAGAGCTAGGAAACGAAGCAACATCTCTATCAGATCATAATCGTCGACTTCAGCACTGGCAGCGATTTTACAAGCAGACGAGAGAACAATAATTTTACATTAGCGAGGCTTGAGAGGATTATTTTTCAAGTGCTTGAATTCATTAAAATTATTTTTTTCAATATCACCCTGTACAAAGCCAGAGAGCCACTCGAGGTAGAGGTTTCAGTGTAAGATTTACAGGGCAAAGTTTATGACGATACATGTGGAAGATAACTGTTAACCCTAGATTGACCATGTTAAGATTCGAGTGATCGAGGAAGCATCCACTTGGGTGTCCGTTCCACAGAGTAGCGTTTCTTGACATGAAGCTGCTCGAGTGGAAGTTGTATCTCATCAGTGGAATACGAAGGGAATGAGTGTGGTCTGCTACAATAAGAGTGACATGACGGGTTTTAGCCGTAAAGCTTACAACTGGTAAAAATAAGGAATATAATTCACCTGAACACATTTCATGGGAATACCGGTAGAGATGAGAGTGGCTTGTGATGTTTCGTTTCTGGGAAAGCTGTTGAAGAGTGGAAAAGAAGTCATTATTAGTCATTATTTCGAATCAGTCTCGAATATTATTATTTGGTAAAAACTGTTTATGTAATTTGTGACAGAGTGCGTTGAATTTATTAAACAATAAGGATAAACATTTAATTCCCAGATTAAATAAACAAAGAAATAAGTTTATAAATTGTTGTAACCTATAAAGGGTTACTGAATGAAGAATAACCAAAACGGGGGTTGGAAATGAAATGGTAATCATTATAACATCAACAAAATGCAATACTCGCCAGCGGCGTGAATTAAGTAAACCACTGCTAGTGGTGGACTACTTAGACACCATATTAACCCCACTTACAATAGTGTCCAACATATTTATGAGGATTGGACCATACCCATTAGTGTTCATAGGTAAGGTATATAATATAAATGTAACATATTTCACTCATTTGCAAATTTAACATAATTTTTTATGATGTAGCTAAAAAGAGCGACACATGTTAAGTTTATAAATATCTCCTATTGGAATATTATTTAATCCTTCTTTCAAATTAAACCCATACCTTTACAATTCATTACAATCACTCAAATTTTTACATGTATAATCATACGCCAAATACTTGGGTGAGATGTAATCATATAAAATATGTGATCAATCATTGACCAGTATGCATAAATTATGTTACGATTATTTTATCAGTGCCCACTCGCAGTACTGCTACTCCTCCACGTCACTGCTTTTATTTTGCACATTAAGAAAGTTAATATTAATTAGCTTTAAAATAAAACAATGTGAAGATTAAACATTGGATTTTTCAATATTATTATCCGTTTAGGATACAATTATATATATATATATATATATATATATATATATATATATTCATGAATTATTCACATAAAAAACAAATGCAAAGGTTAATGATTTAATTGGCGAGAAATCCATCGTCGCAAACAATTCAAATAATATATACAAAAACCTCTGAATCTTTTCATTCATGAATTTGTAAATTGATTGCACGTTTATCGAAATATATATATATATATATATATATATTTTGGGCACCTCGAAGCGGTGTAATGGTTAGCGATGCTGTCTCGCTTGAAGACTTACGAATGAGTAGCGAGAAGTCCAACAAAAACTCTTAGCATAGAACTTACGGTTGCATCTAGCCATTTCGGCTAAATTGATGAGACCTTATTGCTAATCTAGTAATGCGCTTAAATTCATATATCTAGCTACCTTAGAGAAAAGTACATCAGAACAATTACCATGAAAGTATTTGTAGTAAACACACAGGGAAGCTGCGTTATGGTGGTTGGGAAGTATATTGAAGCAGAGATGTAGGTCTATTTTCTGTGAATTTAGGCAACAGATTTTATTTAAGCAAATTTTGTTAAAAGCAACAAGTATTTTCTGTTGATTAATTTTAACCAACGACTTTTTCAAATTGCAAATGATCCTTCTCAGACAAGGGGAAATTCTTTCAGAAATATATGAAATTAGTGGCTATTTTAATCTGACCATATTTCTTTTGCCTATAACGCTTATATTTAATGATTATACATTTTTAAACAGATATTCCTGTTTTTGTAGGCCGTGAAATTTAAGTATATCAGCCTAGATATCAAGATTTTCCTCGAAAGAAAATGTGCTTCCCGAGAGAAAACAAATCTGTAACCAGTTTTCAAGTAGAGAAACCTCTTTTAAACTAAGCGAGTCTTACTTTTAGACCCAAAAGAAGATCTCTAAACAAAGTATTGTCAAGTAACAGAAAATGTACATTTCACGTTGCAGCTTTTCCTGCCTATAATTTCTAACTTATTTTCATACGTGAAAAGTAAACAATGTAACTTTTACTGAATGCATGGGATTCCTTTTTAAACCCGACAATATTTCTCATTATTATAAGCATTATACGTAGTGGTTTGAGCAGACATTGAACAATGGAATATTTATCGGTCTATGGATCAAGATGGCGTAAATGCAATGGTGTGCCTAAGACAATCTTATATACCACACTGACAACACCCAGTTCTTGATAATAACTGAGTCAGTTGAAAGTATTTCAGATAAAGGAACAAAATATGAACTCTGGGCAGTTCGTTTATATTTATTAACTCTATGTTCAACCGCTTATTCGAAAACTGGAAAATGCTGTAAAAATTAAAGACAGGACATATCAGTGGTTTATCGCTTTCTCCCTCTCTCTCTCTTTCCCTCTAATATATATATATATATATATATATATATATATATATATATATGTATGTGTGTGTAATAATAATATTGGTAATTAGTGAGGGTATTTTTGTATTACGAGATCTGAAGAGTTGAGATCAATTTTCCGACCTCAATGAAATAAATATAATCTCATGGCATTTTAAGGTTTCGTGTGTTATAATACTATATATATATATATATATATGTATATATATATATATTTCTAAAGAATTCATGGATTTAATGTTATTATAGAAGACACTAGTATTTGAAATGAACGTGACATTTTCCACTATAAAGTGGTCGCAGGTTCTGTCCCTACCGGATGATACGTTTTCATGTTTTTTATCACCAAGATTTCTCGAATGCGCCGGTCGATAGACATAAGATACTCTGGTTAATAAAAGAAATGGGTCGTCTATTTCAAATAAGATTTGCCCACTATATAATAATACACTCTGGTTAATAAATAAAATTGGGACGTCTATATATATATATATATATATATATATATATATATATATATATATTATAACACAGCCATTGTAACTTTTAGAAAATGGGAAGTAGAAAGTGTTCTATATAAAATTGATAATACCTTACCTACTGGAGTTTCTCACTATAGGGATCTTCAGGTAGGTTATATTTTTATTATCATAAATGGTGCTCGCAGATTTCGTAATTAAATGTGTAGTGGGCGCTGTTTCTTATTCTTACGAATCAGGATCACTATTCATAGGGAGACACTGGTGTAGCTAAAGTATTATAATTTAGTGGAAAATCAGCGACATTATATCAAAAACCCGATAAGGCTATTGACTACACATGATTACCGTAGACTGATTCCATATCTTCCCGTGGGTTTGACAAAATTTATCCTTACTGGCATGCTGTAATGTTTGATTGTAAAAACCGTTTTTAGTGGATGTCTTTATGCTCCAGTTACCATGTGGCAAATGAATTCATGTGCCATTCTACCCAGAAATTATATGTAATGATGAGTGTAATTTTGTCTTAATGATTAGGTCTTATATATATATATATATATATAGATATATATAATTCCGAAACAAAAGGCTCATAAAATATTCCAAAATAGAAAAAAATGCCCTCCTGACAAACTCAATGAATCAAAAATTATAATGTCCTTCTAACTCTATCAAATCGACAATCTATTTGAACTTAGCATAAAATTTGTTACTACCACGTCTAAAACAATAAAAGACTTGGTCAATATAGAACAAAAAATAAGCTAAAGCTTAAGCTAAAAAAAAGGAAAAAATTATCGATCCCTGTAATAACTGTCACAAAAAATACACAGGAGAAACCTCAAGAAACCTCAAAGAATCTAAATAAAAGTTTATGTGAACACAATAGGGACATTTTACAAAACAATAAATCAAATATAAGACTGATCACAATTCCGACATAAAAAGTACTACTCTAATCAAGGAGAAACAATTCACTACGACGAAAATGTCAAGAGGGTGTTTTCATCGTAGGGTCAACCACAGGAAATTTGCATCTTGGCTCTTAGAACATTTCGCCACTCCTGGCAGAACCTCTATTATCACAGTGTGAAATGTTTAATAACATAAGTGATGGAAAGAAAAAGGAGAAGAATCTAAATTAAATCGGCTAGAAAATTTCGATTATTAAATTAAAAATTTATAAATCCCAGCATCCCTCTTTCGTGCGCGTACACAATCGGACCAACATAAGAAATTTAGTTTGAACATCTAAAGGAGGAAACACGTCGCAGGAAAACTTTTTCCGGTTAGTCATACATTTCCCCACAAGACTGTTCATTATATAAAAATATATATCGTCGTTATGGCATATATATATATATATAT